ATGGTCTGCTTTTACGTTTGGCCTCCCGCTGTCTATCGCCCCACGCCTCTTGTGGCAAAAACCGATGAACGAGCCTCTGTTTTGGTGATGCAGTTTCCATCGCAAAAAACGTGATTAAATCTGACGTGTTTTTGTTCCATTGTGTCTCGACGACCGTCTGGCAGAATTTGGGTTGGGTCAAGAACCCCATGTGTCTGGTCACTTGTTTTAAACCAAAGTTTTCTCTCGTTATCACGGAATTAAGAATGAGTCAATCAGTTTAATCTGTTTTTGTACACAATATTAGGCCATGGTAAACACTTATGTTGGAATTATTCTAACTTAAAATCATAATGAGATCTTGAATGAGATCGTTTGAGTTCTCAATTAATAAAGTCAAATAAAGTTAAACAATTAATTGATGAAACAAATCTTAAGTTCTTGTGTGTGCCTGAGTAGGACATGGGATCTTGTAATGGCTAATATATTGCATTCATTAAGAATTTTGAAACTTGAAAGTTTCCAAATTCTGGAAAGAATTTTCAGAATTAAATCGTTGGTAGTTAAGGGTACGAAGAACGTTAAGGGAAAGCTTAAGATGTGTAAAAGCTGGTGCGTTCCGAGAAAAGCAGTTTAGCTGTTGAGATAGAGAAATCTAACTTGTACAATTGAGCATGATGTACACAATGCACCAATAAAGATGGTTTTTGGGAAGCGAGCTGATCTAGTGGTAAAGTGCGGGACTTCGGTCCCCGAGGTCCGGGTTCAAATCTTGCCAACCAATATAATTTATCTGAGCTATAATTACGTACACCGTTATGCATAGGTAGTCGGAAGTAATGTGTAAAACGCTTCCGGACTGAGTCTACGTCCTAGGATGTGAAGGTGGGACAAAAATATATCAAAACAGCATTTGGAAGCTTACTTACGTTTCCAACATGATTTGATATTCAATATATTCATGCGTTTTTTATATTCTAAGGTGAGCAATTCCAAAACTAAGTTCCATAACATCTCTTGGCTTTAAAACACGAAGATTGCTAAATTCAGCAATGACTAACGAGTTAAGTACATTCTACGACAGCTCTTGAACAGCTGGAACACTCATGAAAGGGCAATGTCTTTTCAAGTGTACAAACACGAGTGAAAGTGTTGACTGTTGATTGCCCCTTGACTCCTCGGTGTGAGTGATGCAGATACTTGGTGAATGTGGATTATGCAATATGCAAGCCTCGCTGAAGAGGACCTTTCCTTCTGTAACATCGCCTCTCGTAATGCTTGCAGAAACTTGGCACCAGCGGTATCCTGATTGCATGAGTGGTTATGAAAGTGATATTGTTTTTGGATATTGAAGTAGACATCCTATTTGTTTGGATCGGATGTGACAAGTTATTGAAAGAAAACAAAGAGAAATTAGCCTATTGAAGTAATTGAATTACTACTTTCTCTCAGTTTTTCATACCACGATAATTATGAGGGTGTTAAAGGAAATGTAGTTAGTGTAAGTAAATATCCCCTTTCTGAATGGATTCCAATTATTTACGTATACTTAATCATAGACTTTAGAAAAAATGCACCTTACAAATTACACAAACCTTTTTACTAGCCTATTTCTTTTAATTGACATATTTTATTGTTTTCGTAGGGGTCGGCCTAAACCCTGGTCTTGTTACTCTAACGTCGAATTATTGACAAAAGGTTAAATTTAATTAAGGTAGCCTATTTTTAGAAACCGCTACAACTTTAAAACGGCATTTATCTCTATATCACCGTATTTTTATAGTAAAAAAAGTTCCACCCTGAAATACTGTAGGCCTACATGTAATTTGCATACATTTGTTTTTCTATAGTCAGGTAAGTGCTTTTGTTAGAATTGTTTGTCTGTGAATGAACACATCCAATGTGCCCAAAATAAAATTTAACATGAAAAAGAGACATTAATTGGTGCCTACAAGTCCTTTACGTTTGTGACAGAAGCTCTAACAACAATTAATTGAAAGGTTGCAGATTTATTTACTTGTTCACACTAGATGGTTAGACTACAACTATTTATGGCCTGACAATGTGAACGTAGACGAAGCAGTAGTTGTAATAATTAATGTAGGCACGTGGTAGCAGATGTTTCCCACGATAAGAGGGAAGTTCCCTCCATTTCCATATTGCAGTTATGTGAGCGGTTAGCTAACGTTGTTACACAGGTAATCAACAGCTGGTAATAGTAAACAATTCAGCTGTTCATCTTGTGTTGTTCACTAAATCAGCTGTAATGGTTGTCTATCACATGTATAGCAATAGCCTAATACTATAGACTCATCTCTACTAACAAGGCTGCGGTGAGAAATGTGGCAACGCCGCAGCCACGGCCTACCGAAACAGCTGTTGCACAACAGTAGCTTGAGCTTCTCCGCAATGTTTATGTTTATACGTTTGTTATTGCCAATGTAATAAGCCGGCCGGCGCGACGTTGACACACTATCCAGTCTTGCGGTAAAAGTTATGTAATATTTGTCAAAGTACAGTAAAACCTTGATAGCTACTTTTTCCGAAGTAAACAAAGTCAGTCCTGCTATCCGAGGTTTTTTTAGCCATGTGCTTTGAAAATACCATTTGCATAGTCGATTCTAATCATTTTCAAAACGAATGTCAGAGGTTAGTCAAAATCGCTTGGCTGTAGTGAATAGTCGTCATTCGTCATTCAACCACTTACCTATTGGCATTGTAGTTGCTGGAGCTGGATTGATGAACATCCTCTACACAAGGAAGTAATGTAAGTAATCCGGCATATTTTATGCATGGAATCCGAATTATTTATTGGAAAGTGAAGAATTAACCGTCCACTTTCCTCGGCAGAAATACCGGTTGTCGGGTTTCTAGGAAGGATAAACTGTTTACGGTCGATCGATCCAGTGGATGTTTCCGCTGTGGTCACTTTCCATAGAGTAATCGACAGTAGTTTTCACTTTGGATCGATTCGGTTGTTAACACGGTGTAAACATCTCAATCGAGCGTGGAGAATGGACGTCGAATACAGTGTAGAATCTGCCAGGAATGACCTTTGATGTAACCTTTGATTATTGAAGTGTATATTCCATTCTCATGTTAAGACTCCAGCCACTTTTAGACAAAATTTACGAAGTTAATTGATCCACCGACAGAGTCGATGTAACTGACGATATCACCAACTTTAAGACAACTGAAAGGAAAACTTGTTGTAATTCATGGTATCTTTTATAGTGCATCCAAACATCAAAGAATCACCAACTATAGGAGTTTTGACTGCAGCGCACTCAATGACTTGGATAATTAATTGGACTAAATAGAGGCTTCTACATAATATAGGTCGTACAGTAATAGGTGAGAGTCTCCTTCAGCATTCAAAATAATTCTGTGACTGACTTTATGTTGTGAATAATTAACAATACTGCTACAACCCATGTACTGTTGAATCCATGCGATGCTCAGAACTGACAGAATTTCCCCGAAAGGCATACCTCCGAAAATCACTGATTAAAAAATAATGCGCATCTGAGGCATTTCTTTAAAGGAAGTGGCCAATCAGGAACTACTCCGAAAAGAATGCGTCTCTTAGGCACTGTTTACTGCTTCGAAAGAACATGCCATGAATCTATTTTTCTAAAGGCATAACTCCGAAAGGCATATTTCCGAAAATGTGTTTGGGTTTTATGCCTTTTGGAACAGTACCTGCATCCTACACTATCGGGGTACTGGAGTCTGGAGTTGTCAGTACCGTATTTGGCCACGCAAGACCAGGCAAGATGTCGTGTCTAGGCCGCAGCACGACCTTGTATTGTATACAGGGTGTCCGGTAACAGCTACACCTGCTGCCAAGCTATACAGCTACACAAGTGAACAAAGCCATTCATTGGAACCACGTGTTCTTTGCTTTTGTTCTTCATGGCTGTTGGATTGGTTCCTTATTGGACAAACGATGTCTTTTGAAGGTGTTTTAATTAAGTAGAAGGTAGTTTAGGAATGAGTAAATGAGTTGACAATGGGTTAAACAAGTTAATGTGAGGTTTCAAGCAACTAGAGTTGTGATTATTCACATAGTGTATGTAAAGGAACCCTAAGCCGCACACCTATCAATCACGTACTTGAATAAAATGTCTTGATTTGCAGCTTCGCCGAAAAAATATAATTTTTTCGATAATTCCTCTCCTAAAAGCATGAACATCAGTATCAGGGGTTTTTCATTGAAATAAGCTATAAGTACTATTGAGATAAGCCTGTTTAATCCATGGTAAGTGATTAACTGGTTTTACATTAGTTTTTGTCCCACATTATTCTCCCAAATATACCTGCCCTGTTGCGAAACACGAGAACAACTAGTTGTATTTAAAGGGGGGTTTAGATCGTAATTGTTGTGTCTGTGTGAATATTATACAAATATAGTATACAATTTTTACATTGTAGTTACGTCTTTCTTTACTCCAATCAAACAGCTGATCGCCAAATACCCCAATACACGTGATAAATTATTTTAATTATTTTATTATGATTTGACAAACAAACGTCCATGTGCATATTTACATATTTTGGTTAACAGTAAATTATCAGCTCACACTGATAAAACCACTTCCCATTCTGATAAGGTTTAAAATGCTCGCCGCCACAGCATAACAATGGACATAAAAGGATTGTATAGATTTTTTTATCCAACTTCACTCCAACTCCAACTCAACCACACAAAAATTACATTGTCTCAAATTTGTTTTAATTACAATGTTAAGTACATTTTTGTTATGCTGATCACATTTAGGTTAGGTGTCACATCGTAATTATAAAAACCTAACCTAACCTAATTGAGGTCGGTACGACAAGAAAATCAGTGGGTAAAGCCGAAAAGTACACAATTTGGTAAACGTGCTACATACTGCAAAGAGAACATGCTTCGAGTTGGGTTCAAGAATACATGCTTGAGGTAGAGTATATTTACGCTTGTCTACTTCACTATACATTTTTATACATATCGTTCAACAATGTTTTTTTGTTTGTTCCAGGAAGCGAAGACGAGAAATGCCCCTCGTCTGCTATGGTAGAACTTTTGGACCCTGCGGAGTCAAGGTACAAACATATGTTTTCTAAAATAACAAGAACATTAGCAGAAATCTTATTCGATTTTTATCTGTGTTATCATGAAGAGTATTGAAGCACAAGGTTTAATGAGTGTTTTGACTTTGGCAGGCTTTTATGAGTAGTTTGTTGTTTTGGTTGACTTCATAAACCCGTAAAAAAAAAAAAATGTATAAGATTTTGTGAAAATATATCCAATTGACCACATAATGCCACAATTAGTTCTATTCATGAGAATATTTTGGCCAAGTACTATAAATCGGATACTATAAAGGGCCTAGGTCACATGTTGGCCTGAGTTGAAGTAATGTGACAAACAATTCCAGGTCTGTGTCCAACAGTGTAGAGGGGGGGGGGTTTTTAGTGAGTAGTCTGTGATAAACTCAAGAGTCTCACACTACAGGCTGGCTACTTGTGTGCGTAAAAGCATTTTCCCTCATCTCCCTAAAAAAGAAAAACTATAAATCAGAATACGTTTTTTAAACTGTGGGTTATTATTATGTTGGTATTCTTCAACATTTTAAAACGATTTAAAAAGATATTTTGTATGGAGTCTTTGTAGCATAATCCGGGTATTGGACTCATCCAAGGAGATGGTTTTTACCCACTTTTACAAAATAGTGTAAAATTGTGTTAGATTTTACGAACACTGCACATAATAATGGGAGTAAAACAAAACTTTTGCCGTGTCCCTTTAAACACACTGTTAAACATTTATTATATAAAACATTGAATTAAGAAACCAAAAGTTTGTCATAAAACTACATTTCACAAATTAAAATTATTCTTTTCTACTTTTCCAAGCGTCAAACTATGTGTGGGTAACTTTTGAAATATACCTATCGCTCAGTAAGCAATGGTTATTGAACCTTCTTTCCCAGAAGGAAATTCCCTAAAATAATGGTTGCGTTGCTCAACATTAGAAAGTATCTTACTACGTCATCACTATTTGGTTGATCTCAATCTAGTTAATTAATGTTGCTAAATTATAATCAGAAGATAAATATTTACAAGTTTGCTTATGCCGAGGCGGGAGTCTTTCAATCTAATTTACACAGATAAGATTTCTGTTTGCGTTGGAATTCTTCGTGATGATTAGATTGTTATGCATAGTTTACAGTTTGCATGCTGCTTTGCTTGTTTACTCTATTTAATTAAATTCACTTGCGATGAAAGGAAAGCCTTTGGTGGACCAGAAAATTTGCATACTGAAGAAAGTGGATTTGTAGATTAATCTAGTCACTTAATAGCACAACAATTGAAAAGCAGGTGAAGTTCAGGACCATCTTACCAGAGGGTATTAGTGTATGGGTTAAAGTTTGCAACTTGAGACAGAATATTGCCATTGGTAGACCGTCTCAACAGATTTACCACGCTTTTGACTTCAAGATTTTTCATTGGATGGGAAGTCAACTCTGTAGAATGTCTGTAGTGAATGGCTCGACGTTGGTTTCAGACTAGTTTTGTTTGGCTGCGAGACGTGCTCAATGTAGACGTATTACGACAATCCTAGCATTTTCTTGGATTGGAATAGGTTAAGTCCACTCATGGGTCCAACCAGCCCTACTTGCCTCTGGTTCATGATACCATATTGTCTATAGTCTCTAGTGGTCAGTTGTGAGTTCCCACAGTCCGAGGCCTACTTGTGCAGCGCCGTGCCAGGATGGAAAGTTGCCGCTGTATCGCCAACGCACCTCCTTGACCTTGAAATTGATAACGTACGACCTTGCCACTCCTGTGTCCCAGTTATCGGGTTGGTCAAGTGGGATCGAATCTATCGTCTTGCCTCGAATGTTTAGTAGGGCATGTAGAGATTAGAGATAAAAGCGCTTGAAAGGGCTGTATCAGTTTTGTTCCGTGGTTGAAGTATTTCTTCACATCACTTTTGTTCCGGGATCAGTAGGTAGATTTCGGGACCGAAACATCGCTTTTGTTCCGGGAGAAAGGGGGTTTTACTCTCCCTCCCCCAAATCCTCTCTTTCGTCCTCCTAATTCTTTCTTTCGTGCTGGCTCTAAACCAGTTAAATTATCATTTTCTCCTTAACAAAATCAATAACTTAAATTATTTAACCTAACCTATAAAAGAAATAATTCGGAGGAGAGCGAAAGAGAGGATTTGGGGAAGGCAGAGTGCAGCCCCTTCTTTCGCGGAACAAGAGAGATGTCCGTGGAACAAAAGCAATGTTTCGGCCGGCCCCGAAATCTACTAATATTATTACGCGAACATAAACATTGTTTTGATGCAATGTACAAGAAATTTTTGTATTTCAAATACACTTTTTGTACCTTGCTTAGTAGATTTCTTTGTTTAATTAATACATTAACATAAACAGTCCTAGAATTCATTGACGTTGGTAACGTTACTTTATGCTGAGCCTGGATTCAAGTCTCAATTTCCTAGAATAAATGTAAAAATTCCAATTAAAACTGAATATGAGGCTACTGAGCATTCGAGGCTTATTCTGCGGGTTTGCTCTGTTTGAGATATTTTTCTACGTGTCCAAACCATCGATGTATACCAAACCACATAGAGTAGTTTAAACAATTGCCATGTGTTCCGTGTTGATAACCAATCACAACAATCGCCGTCAGCTGACTTCCTGCAGCAAACAGTTTACTTCCGGTGCGCCAACCTGATAACTGCTTTCAGCTAATTGTTGGATGCAAACCTGTCTGTCTTGCGATACAATTGGCTTACTGCCGAAGTGGATCTGTTTTTCCGTAACTGTTTTGATTGTTGAAATTAGTCAAAAAGAATTGAATATAGACTGTCAGCCGTGCAATGGTTACCATAGGTTCTGGCTTGGTTCTGGCGCACTCCGCTGGGAGCGCCGTGTAGCTACGTAGCGCGTAGGTCGTAACAAAATGGCGCTCCCAGCGGTGTGCGCCAGAACCTATCGTAAACGCAGCACAGCTGACGGTCTATATTTAGTTCTTTTTTCTATGTTTATAGGCACATAAAACACAACATATGATGCACACAATTAGGTTACCAATGTTTAATTGTTAGTATTTTTAATTGCTAGGACTGTTAATAAACAAGGGGAAATGGAATTGCTGTTTGTAGAGACATCTTCAACTCCCCCAATACTCAGGTTCTCTAAGTATTGGAATTGCCGCTTCTCCACTTTAGGGGCAACATAAATTTAGTTTGTTTTTGTAGCTAAACTTCAGTTCCCCTCAGGGTTGAGCTTGAGCTCCGATAGAACCAACTGGATAAGAAAAACCAGCAGTAGTAAAAGCAAAACCTCAATAGGCCTACTGATAATCGATACAGTATTCAAAAAACCTTCTTGTCTTCGTGAAATATTGAAGAGTAAACCAAACGTGGCAAATAATTAAAATTTAAATTTTATCGGGAAAACAAAAATATTATGAGATGGATTTCCCATGGCCATGACATGAACTGAGGGTATGAATGGGGTGGCGCCCTTTTGAAAATAAGGATAATGTGTTGGGTAAGAATGTTCCTCATGGCAATTTTGGAGAGACTCAAACCGGTTTTACTCCACTGAATTGGCCTGAGTACATTACAAGGTGTAACCAAGTGTACATCATAATCGCAGGGAATCTAAGAGAGCAAGACCGAGAAACATGCTTCATCTTTGTGTTTAAACTTATTAAACCATAACAGCAATCTGACACATACTTTCTCCCATTGTCTACAACCCTTGCCATGGGTAAGCGGTGGGAGTATGATATTTTATTGGGAAATTCCCAAAATGTCAATAAATTTTCAACTGTAATTTTCTAAAGCGATGGGGATAGTATCATTTTGTATAGAGTTAAATGAACTATAACACACATTTTAATCAAAATCATTCGAGCAGTTTTTTTGAAAATCCAATTTCTCCATTAATTTAGGCTAAGGATTTTTATGGAAAAATCACTTTTGAAAAAAAAAATTAAAAACAATGCCTGGAGACGTCAAAGGGGGGGACTCATATACGGAAACCACTTTTTTGGGTTCAGAGGGACCAAAAATGCAAATTTTCACCCCAAATTAAAACTCCTTAATTTTGATGAAAACAGCAGGCACATTTCCTTTTTGTATTGCAGGAGAAAGTGAAAAGGTTACACATAACAAATTAGGTATGAACTTTGTCAATTCCTAGATGATGAAGTGCAATGAGTCAGTAAGTGAGACAAGACATGTAACGCTACATTGTGTGTGTGACACACAGGTTTGTATAATGAGCCGTTCTGTGTACGGTATCTTAAATCACAGAATAATATCTACTCTTTATTTTGTGCTTACACGTGGTAAATATTTGTTCTTAAGATCTGTCTGAAATAATAAATCTGTACATTTTCCACCGATGTATATTTGTCAACAGCAGTAACAAAAAGCCTGATACACTATGAGAACTTTACTTTTTCCTATTGTTTAGGTGCAGGGGTAGAGCATTATGGCTATGGTAGATCTGCTGCTATAGTTTTTTTTTGTCCTAGGACGCTAGGCACGAGCCTGGGATTGTTTTTCACATTACTTCAGGCTAGACCTAGGGGTTGTGGCATTATCACTTACATCAAATCCATTGGTGACTTGGCGGGGATCGAACCCGGGACCTCAGAGACTGAAGTCCCACGCTATAATATGCAGATAGTAAATTAAAAGAACCAAATTTTCTTAAACTGTGTCCTCTCCCATTGCAAACGCAAAGCACGAGTATAACTGCAATAAGCTTTTTTATACTTATACGTCAACCCCGTACAAAGGACGGGTAGGCCTACTCTGCTAGTTTTTTTATATAAAAAAAATGGTGACAGCTGGTCTATATGGGTGGGATGTCATCATCAGTATCCGATAGTCAATGGTTTTTGTTATATTCTAAGTGTAAAAAGAACTGGACAGTTAACAAGGGATTTAGAACACAAAATATTTTAATAATTCAGACTGATAGAAGTTTTTATAATTTTTATTGTGTTTTGGACAGGAAAACTCTTAAAAACAAATATACCGTGTTAGCCAACCATGGTTTTGTATATAGGCAAAACCAATGAATTGATTTGAGTGTTACCGTTTGGCCAAAAATAGAACAGCATTTGTGTAGTTGAAGCACTTTTAATCCACCTACAGTTAATTGTTCCCAGTAGAGTTTATGTTTGGGCAGATTAGCATGTTCAGCTGGCAGCTATTACTGATAACACAACTGCACACTTGACCTTGAGTTGGATGACTCAAGTTCTTGTTATGTTAAGATAAATAAACACCCTTCGCCAACTACCTGGACACATGTTTAAATGTACTGTTAATGTTAATAGCCATTAGAACTAGTATGTTTGTGTGTAGTAAGAGTATACATTTGAGCTATGGCTTGCTAGGAGGGACCGATCTCCGATACCAGCACAGATTTGTTTTGATGATCTTTGTGGCTGGTAAAAGTTCAACATTTAAAAACCCTGCTTTAATTTTTGGCTTGTTGACTGGAAAAAAGTTCTAGGACAAAGATGATATTTTTTCTACTCAAAATCCTTTCACAAATAAGCCATGTGATAAACATACCACAAAATTCCTCAGGATTGAACAAATGTAATTTGAAGATTTGTGATACTTTCCTTTTTCGATGACCGAGTGGTACAGTCTCCATTAGTAGATTCAACCCTCTGAAATATTAGGGCTCTAAAGCAAGGAAAAACACTCCACCGTAGTTGAGAAAAAAATTCACAAAATGCCTCGTGATAACTAATATCACAAAATTCTTTAGGTTCCTATGAACGAAATGAATATGACTATTGTACTTCTTACGGTTGAAACTGGTAAATGACAACGGATTTATTCACCATGAAGGGAAACCAGAGAGTGTGCCTCGAAGGTGTTAAACCCTAAGAAGAAAGATTTTTCAAGGAATGCGGCCTAGCACATATGTTGGAACAAGTACGTATAGGGTGATTTTTTTAGTTGTATGGTTTTTAAGTTGGTTGCATTGCTAAACACAACAATGAAATTAAAATCAAACAGCTGATTTTTTTATTATCTTATGTCATTTCAGTATTTCTAGTGCTTATTCTATAGTAGGCTTACCATGAATAGTGTTACAAAAGAGGAACGTTTGCGAATTGTGCAAATTTATTTTGAAACTTTTAGATCAGTTTGACGCAAATTAAGGTTAGATGTACTTTGTCCGATCTACGGACCACATAATTGTCCATCTGAGTCAGGTATTTGAGCTTTGGTGAATCGGTTCCGCATTACCCACACACTAATTGACAATAAGCATACACAGAGACGCCGCACAGTAAAGACCGAAGATGCTGTTGGTGCTGTTGCGCATAGTGTTAAAGAGGATCCAAATGTGTCGATTTGTCACAGTGCACAGCAATTAACGATCTGTCCATCAACTGTTTGGAAGATCTTACGAAATTCTACGCTGACAAGCCACAGACTCAAAATGAGTTGGAAGTGAATATTCGTCGAGTTATTGAAAAAATACGCCCAACGCCCACAGTTGCTGGAAAGGGTGTATGAAAAATGGACTGCTTGATTGGGCTTTCTACAGAAACACAATGGTATATGGCAGAAATCTTTTTTAAACACAAATGTCATATCACTGTGGTTAAAATAAATGCATTTTTATGTCAATAAAATTTATTTTTCATTGTTTTAAAAATCTCACCACGAAAAAATCACCATTTATTCGTTTTTACGATTTCCATGGACATAATCAATGTTGGTGTTTCAGTGAGCTGGAGAGGATGGAGGCGGACTCCGTGGCGAGACAACAGCGCATCTCCCGGTACAAGGAGCAGCGCAGACGGCAGCTGGCGGCACAGTACGGTGCTCACGACGCCTCCAGTCCCACCCCCGGGGGCGGCGTCAGTGTCAGGTCGACCAGAGCTAGCCGTCTCCGCTCGGCTGCCGCCACTGCCACCGCCAACGGCAACAGTTCAGGTGAGGGACCACAGCCTAGTACTTTGATAGATGGAATAACTATTCGATATTCCATGTATGTAACGTCAAACTTTTAAGGCGATTAAAATGTTAAGCATGTTTGCTTAGTTAAACTGACAATGGACACATATTCATGTATGATGATTGTAATCTGTGGAATTAATGGAGTAGGGTTGTTCCAATGAGTTCCAAAAAGATGATTTTTTTTTCTAGATCCTTTTAGGTGAACAACAATTAATAGAACTTCTTATTGAATCTTTCTTTGGTTCAGGAAACTGTACAAATTGCAAAATATATACCGTAACCAAAGAAAGCTGGATAAATATGTAGATTGTTGTTCTGGATAAGCTTGTTGAATAATTTATTGTGGAAATAATGGAAAATATGTTAAAAAGACAATTTAAGAACCATAATATTAAAAGTTAAAAGAAATACTGTTTAAGTTTCGTATATTTAACCACAACTTTATGTAACAGGATTGTCTATTTTTTCAACATAAAAACTAACAAGTAGCTATTACCAACGAATATTGGATACAGAAGTTTTATTAATAGTTATTGTATTAATAGTCAAATCTATTACTTATAGAACAAACATTTCTTCTGTCATTACCAGCTACATCTCTATTTATGTTGTTTCTATCCAAACATAACTAATTTTCACAAGCAGAATTTCTTGGTATAATTGTACACAATATTCAACAGTTAAAAAGTAAAGAGACATTGAAGAAACTAACTCAATGGTTAAATCTAGTCTTACTAAACCAGTGTATGGAGTTATTTCAATCAAAACGTTTTAAAAATAACACATAGGCTAGTTCTACAACATCACACATTAAAGTTTTGATATATTAGCCCAAAAAGTTGAATGATTTCAAGCGATTTAATTTTGATTTTTGAGTATTGATGGAACTTGACATTCCATTTCCATATTAAATTTGTTGCCAGTTTTTTTTTTCAAAATCAAAATGTAAGTAGGGCCTAATTGAATTAAACCACCAATAGGATGCACTGATGTAAATTAAATTACTGATTTCTGTAGCGTTATAACCAAATCAAAGTGATATGACTGATAGTGATTTATTGTAAGCTTAGCATCTTTATGCCACATTAACTATCTCACAACAATTAAGGTAGAAAATATAATTTTAGACCCTAGTGCATTCTGTGACTGGCTCATTCAACTGTGCTCTTATTAGCAACAGCTGATCCATATAAATTGGATGTATACATCAGTTTCCAAAAGTCAATCGATTTAATTTGATTTCAGACTCCCCAGGAAATAAAGGTGTGGATGGTGTCCGCAGATCGTCAGCTTGTGAAAGGAAAGACATCAATGGCAGACTCGGGCCAAGCCCACAGGATACTAAAGAGGTTAGTTCAATCTTACTTTGATTATAGAAGTCCTATCCTTCACGTCCTAGGACACTAATATCTAGTCCGGAACCGTTTTCGCAATCCTTTAGGGTAAGCTGCGGTTTTATTCAAGTAGATTCAAGATGTTAAAACTACATGGTACATTTGTCACTGTTGTAGACAGTGTTCCAGAGGTCAAGGTGTAAGGTGCCAGGTAAGGTGGTGACCTTGGGTAAGGTGAAGGTACAGCTGCTCCTTGTAAGGTGTGTCTGCCTCTATAACAGCGATATCTGAACGGCGGACGTATCAAATACGTCTTGAACAATTCATTTTCTGACCTTATGAGGTGGCAAAGCAATTAAATTTCACCATTGCGATTGTTGAATGTGTGCACGACATAAACACATGTATAAGATGCTGAAATACCGATCAATTTTGACTAGTCACACACATCTGGACCAATAGGAGGTTATCAATGACATCACAGTACAATAAATAAACAAAAACCATAAAAGCAACCTAAATCAGGTTATGAACTGGTTCATAGTTTGAAATATTCAGATTGTTTTCAACTGATCAAGCAAATTCCAATTTTACGGATTCCAACGCAGATGAAAGTTCCATGTATTGTAGGAGTTGAGCTCAGCTTCAGTGACATTCCTTATAGATGAGAGGCTGTGAAGAAATATCAGTTTCAAGGTCACGGCAACCCACTCAAGGTCATTGCTTTCACTGGACAACGAAGCTTTATGTCATGGGAAGATACTATCATACATTCCAATAACCTGTTTACTGTAACGTATACGCTGGCTATTGCAGATCAGCTTCATAACAAGTATTATAAAGTGAAACGCTTGTTGGAAAAGGTATATTTCATCAAAAGAGCGTAAAGCTTTTCGACCCTTGCTCAAAACATAGTTCAGCTGTGATGAGTTGTTTAAATAAAATCTTTGCCTTGTTAAGATAAGATAAGATAAGATCTTTATTTCCATTAGATATTCTTTTGAATACATTGGATATGTCAGGTTACAATATATAATCTATACAATAATGAATTGAACAAAGGGCTCACCCATCTTACACAAAATCATTGCAAGTCAATTTTTTGTCAAATATTCATCAATTGAATAGAATGCATTTGCAAGTAAGAACCTAATTACAACATTTTTAAATTTAATAATGTTCATGTCCCTAATAGCAAGGGGTAGCTTATTAAATAACCTTATGGCTAGTGTTAAAGACAAGAACTGAAGTTCCAAGAAATTTACTTCATGGAAATCACTTTGTTAATATTTATAGTTAAACTTTTGCAATAGAAACTAATTATTTTGAGTAACTGATTTATGAGAGGAGGTTTCCACTGTTGTTAAGTTTAAATGACTCAAAACCTATTCATTTGAAAGTTGATGAATCATGGTTTGAAGATTTGTTGACTATAAATAGTGTAGTTATACCATTGTTCAGTAGATTGGGGGTTTTAATTACTTTTGTAAGATTCCGTTTCAAATTAACTGTGGGTTAGTGTCAAGTTTAAAATCAAGAATAAGTCATTCAAGTTATTCCATTGCATGATTTTTTAAGTTTGTAACAATATCTTCATTTAGAAATACAGTGCCTCTAAGAATCTAACGTAAAATATCTTATAAGTTTTTGTAAATGTAGGTTGTGATATTTTCCCAATCAAAATTTTAAACTTCATACATAATGTTTTGATTTTTTGATTTGTCTGCCATTTTTAATGTATATGAATACATTTACGCTTAAATAGTGTTACAGTATAAGTAGGACCATGTATTTGTAGGAGAATAAAATGCCATGTGTATTTGCATTCTTAAAAAAATCTATTTAATGAAAATAGTTTTTCATGGTAACTTTTTAACTTTAAATATTCTGAACCTATTGTTCTGTTTTCATTTGAACCAGACAAAGTCATTTCCAGAAACAATAGAATGGAAGATAATGAGAGCTGTACCAATAGTGTTAATGGTTGAGATAACATGATAATGGTAAGGTGCATCAACCTTGTTAATCAAGGGCACTCCACAGGGGAGTGTGATAAAGACACACTTATTTTTCTGTGACATATTTTAAGTATGATTTTAAAATCTTTTATTTAATCTTAGAGAGTGAAAGGGATAACTTGTTATAGGCTGAATATGATTAGAGAATAGAATACTTTTAACCCAGCCACAGAATAATTTTATTTAAAAACCACACATAGGTTCCTTTCTTTTCTGCATTGTGTTAGCTTACATTTACTTCCCTTCTAACTAAAGCTAAGCGTAGGACTTGAATATCCATTTATAACACGCAGACTGTTAGCAACAATTACAGTATCGCAGACACCAAAGCTATAGTAAGTTTTGGGTTGTATTAGTGGTTCGCATTTTATAAGGAGATAGTCCTCTGAAATGTTTAGTAATCATTATTAGGCTCCTTTAGTAATGATATACTTACATTTCTCTGATATTTTAGGAGTCGACTTGTTAGTGTTGAAAAATAGTAGTGAATGAAAAATATTTTTTACTTTAAAATGTACCATCCATTTAAAAAATGTTTTCTGTTGAGCTAAACTTTTTGTGAGTCTATGTAGGACTTTTGATGACTCGTTGAGCGGAAACAGAGGCTTCTTAGCGACGTTGTGTAATCTTCTGCGGTTGTGGAGACATGATCCTCATCTCGTGGTCAAGAAAACATCATTGTTTTCCAAGGTTGCAGCAAAATCTTGAACATATTTCTCGATCATGTCATCATTGTCGTCTCTCTTGGTTTCAGAAAATCATCATCATTCTGCACAATCACAGGAAAAGCGTGATATTTTTGATCGGAAAATCTTCTAAGATGCTGCGATTGCGATAGTAAAAGCTCGGTTCAACTTAGCCTATTCCCTACAAAATACCTTGCATTTCGGTTAAATTCCAACTTCTGCATTTTTGATTATCGGAATGTGGTACAGTCCCGACTGATTTGGATAATTGGTGTTCTACCGTATATAATCTTACAGATCCTTAGAGGATGCAGGTTATACCATCACCATCCCTGTGAAGTTAGAGTCTGACCCTGAAGTAACCCCTCTATCTTGTGTGTTACAGAATAGTCCCCAGCTGTCTGACTCGTCGTCTACTCCGCGCAGGGAGAGGGACAAGAGCGCCAAGCGCAAGTCTTACTTGAACCGATCCTTGAACAACGAGCCTGTTGCTGGTGAGTAACTGTCATATTCTATTTCTGTTTTTTACTTTGAAAGTAGTGCTACTTAATTCTTATGTTGAGATAAATCGTACTTGATTGTCAGCTTTGCCCCATCAATAGTGGTGTTGCAAAAAAGGTTAAGTCTGAAGTAATGCACAAAACAGTTCCAGGCTAACAATGTTGTTTTAGCCTTTCGGTATGTATACATTTTAATAGCAGCGGTATACAAGTACTCAAGGTGTTGAGCATTTTTGAACCAATATTCCAGTACTTGGTTCGACTCAAGTTTTACTAGAAAATTCAAACAGTTGAGCTTTTGATGAGTTTGCAGGAAGCATTTATATTTTTGTAGTAAGAACAAACGCTCAATCTTTTCTCTATCAAGATATTTTATTTATTTACCATCAACTGACCTTAAAATAAACTTAAATCCTGAAAAGAGAAGGATTAATTAATTGCTTCATTGCTTAGTTTGGATACCAACGGGGTAGTACCAACATACAAACATAAAGTCAGCATAATTTATAGAGTTAACGAAGGTTGTTCTACTTTCATAAAACAAGTGGGGGCAAGACTATGTGTAAATGAATTTCAAAACCGGCTTTCTAGATCTAACGAATAAATGACGATAGTATGTGTTTTTAGGACGTGAAGACAAGCTTTTTTGTTTGCGTAAAATAAGTTCATCATTGTAAAATGTAGTGCCAAATCACAAACATAAAGTCATCATAATATAGAGTTAACGGAGGTTGTTTTACTTAAAAAAAGTTAGCCTAGTTAACAAAAACAGTGGTTGTGCTTCACCAAGTTGTATTTAATAACAGGAGTAACAAGGTAGTTTGGTACAAGTGTGCTAGTTAGCTAGTTGTGTTGGTAAATGTGCGTGAAATGAGTAATTTGAATGCTGCCTAGCACATGTTTAATTAGTAATGTGTAGACCTAACACTGTGATGATATGTTCATATTAGACTTGCTTGCTATTTGGTCTAAAATATAGTACTGTACCTTACCACTCATCGTTTCTAACAATGGTCGTTTAAGCAGTACAGGCGATTGGCCGTTAGAATAAGGGAGGTTAAATCCATCCAGAGGGCATGGGATATGTTCCTTGATAAACATACTCGTAACTTTAATTTTCCTATAGTCTGTGTGTTAGAATCTGTCTCCTGGCCGGGTGTACCTGGGGAATGGCCAATGGTTTAAGGTCTAGGCTAGTCCTGGGTAGACGGAGGGTTATGAGACAGGTTCCATCATACAGACTATATCTGTCTAAAAGTGGGGTGCAGCCCCCTTTATCCCCCTGTGAATGCCACCACAGTGTTAAATAAAAAAATTTAAACTAAGAAAGTTTTAATAAATCACTCTAATAAGAAAGGTTCACGACAGCGGTGAACGGTCCGTTTTAATGAGTTTTTGGGGCGTTGGTTTAACCAGAAAAACTGTTATCCGGTCTGGCCTCAGTCCCAAGGAGTCTGGATTAGAGGGAGTCTACTGTAAATACAATAAAACCTCGATAACAAGTTTCCCATGGGGTTTATAATAAGACTTGTAATCAAGGTTGACTTCTTATAGAGGTTTGTAATGAAATGTGACAAGTGACCAAAGGATGACTTGTTACTGAGGTTCTGGTTTTCAAGGTTCAACCATAAATATCTGTATAAAATGTTATTTAGCTGTTTTATGACAGTAAAAAGTAGGTTATGTTGATAGTAACCTGACATAAAAACTAAGATCGGTCGTTATTTAAAAATTGACCCATTTACCCAACTATTATCCTAGTTAAAGCATCTCTAAAAGTTATCCCACAACACTTGGGATCTTAACGTTGTTAACATAGTTTGTATATTGATGGCAAAATTACAAGATCTAGGTTACAGAAGTAGGGTAGTAGGAGACTGGGGAGGGTAGTTGGTTGTTATAGTGATAAGTGGTGTGTGTGGGGGGGGGAAGGGGGGGTTTGTTTTCTCTTGATATCTGTTGGAGCTTTCACATGTGTTTCCACCTTTTATAAAATGAAATCTTCTTGAGTAGCGCAAGGTAGCGCTTCCTACAATTGGTTTTGTACACCTGGACAAAGAATTGGGGATATTCATTGGTCTGTTAAAAGTATTAATGTTAGTTATTTTAACAAAACTATTAGACAAATGATAATTGGTGATGATTAAAATTTTTAGCTGACAAGTTATTTTAGATATCTCCTGTACTTTTTTAATATCGACAAACTAAGAAATTTTTTAACAAATTTTATCTACCCTTTTGTATGTCAAATTTGTTTGTATACACTTATTTTAGAAATTTTGCAATTATTTATGGTTAAAATAAAATGTGTACGGTAATATAGATATTAATTATTTACCAAATCATATTTTTAAAATATCATTGCTAGGGATGGAAATAAAAGTATGATTGTCAAATGCAAAATCAAAATATTGATCACCTATGAAAAACCAGACTAGATACAATATGTACACAATTTGCACGTAAGATAGAAACATTTAATAATATAATTTTAAAGTATATAAATACAGTTTCAGTTTTGGACATTCTTTGCTCTATTTGAAACCATCATAACCTACATATTGAGTTGCTGCTGTGAGGGGTGTACTGGGGAAGGTTACAGAGTTAATTGATTTTAGCTTACCATTGATGTGTCTGGCAGCATCTCTAGCTCCTTAATCCTACATCACCCCTCCATGTCTCAGCATCAGTTCGTTCAACATTAAACCTCATAAACAGCTGTTCAATCCGTTGTTTAACAGCTGTTTAACAAAGCTTTATTACAGTGCTTATATTTTTCAGTTTGATATTTTTTATTCAAGCAATATTTTCTGAAGTATACTGTAATAATTATACAATGTCTAAGGGATTAATTTGATTTATTTTCAGTATATTTGCAACGAGTTGGAAATATTGATGATTTTACATGTTAAGGATTATATAACTAATTTATAAATTTAGTAATGGTGCACAATATGATTCCATTTATATAAGTTAGAAGTATAAAATTTCAAGGTTTGTACATTGTTGGTAAAATGGTTTTTTTAGCCTAAGTGATTAAAAATATTCAAGTTGCATCAATGACATTTATTAGCCACTCATTGATGATCTTTATATACTTTTCAATCTATGTTTTTGACCCGTCAAATAGTCTCGGTGTTTTTTATTGTTATAATATAGGTGAACAATTTTAATATGGTTTTTTTTTGACAGATGACAACGTAAATGTAACGTCTACTCTTAAAATTAAAAAGTTAAACTTTTCAATATTACCTACCTACAGACAATAAAACGACTAAGAAAGACAATATGTTGAACTATTTAAAATTATCCCTTCACACAAATTTTAAAATAATTAAAATTTTGCTAACCAATCCACTAATACTGATTCCAGTATTTAAAAATTTGCCTTTGGCCATAAATAATCGTATGTGTTACATAACATCGATAATATATTGAAACCCATGGTATAAGTCCCACTCCAAGATAATGTGACGAAATAACACATCTTACCCACAGACTGAAATTTTAGAACAAATTTACAAATTCAAATTACCAGACTGATGTAAAGGAAAATAAACAGAGCGAAACTAAGCTTCATTCGCTACCTACTTCTCTCTATTAACATCTCCATTAAGGAAAAATTACAGATAGAATCTGCATAATTGTAGGGTCTCCTGCAATGGTGAGAGTTTGCGATATTGAAATGTTTTACGAAGAGTGAGAATAGCGAGTGAGATGCTTAAGCAAGTCCATTTTAACGGGTTTAGTTAACACATTCAGTATTGTAATTCTAATGACAGCTCGTCATGTCCAAAACACATCTGCGTATTGAAATAATCATAACTAAAGAATATGAATTAATGATTAAACAAAATGAGTTGAAATAACAAAACAAGGACCTCAAAAAATACAAACATCAATAATTAAAAGTATGAATCAAAATCAATGTATAATGATTTAGATCAAATTATTGCTCCTGAATTGTCTGAAGTACAGTAGAACCTCTTTAATCCGAACTAATTGGGACCGGGGGTAGTTCGGACTATTGAATAGTTCGGATTACAGAACATATTGTTGTTTATACATAATGATAGCTAGGGAAAAGTGAAAAATGATTTATAAAGTAAAATACAGTGTTTATTTAATACAGTAGTAAACATAGGGAATAAACAGTACTGTACATTACAATTAAAATAATTACGGTTCGTATATCAATAAATACAGTATACAATAAAGAACTACTGTACTGTGTATAGAGTACAGCAATGAGGCGTTCGGATTAGTGGACGTTCGGATTACAGGGGTTCGGATTAAAGAGGTTCTACTGTACTACCTATAGTGAAACATCACCCTAAATTACTATTCACAAACAAGTTCGAAATAATGACGAAAATCTTAGAAAAAATTCATATTTCGAATATGTATTGAATATAATTCTAGCTTGTATTGGTAAAAATAATTGTGTTAAGTTAGGTATAAACACGCAGCATCCCTGATTTCCTAGTCAGGATGGTACCTAGTCATTTGATTTCAGCAGTTACAAACTATTGTTGGGATTACATTTTTGTTTAAGTCACAAGGTAATTAATCTCTCTTGGTTTTGGATTTTCTTTCAGAATGTGATCGGAAATAATTGAACTATTAACAAACAACTTTTAATTTAAACATATCAGTGCAAATTGAAGAACGTGGAACCACACGTTTATTCATTCCTATATGGTTCTTTAAAAAAACCAAAATAATTCAAGCGTTGTTTTCTTTTCTTCTTTATTTTTTTGTTCAAAAACTCCCGATAAAAATAAATTGAATGACCCAGTAATTAACTATTTTTTAGTAAGTAGATACGATTTTCTAATTTTTGATATTGTACACATACTCCTAACTAATTACTGAAACTGAAACAACTCACATTGCAAAAACAGCATTAATTTTTCCAAAGCTATAATTCACTCCAAAACAAAAGGAGATGGACTCAAAGATGTTTGTGGTTCAAGGTAATGTTATACAACTGA